GTCCGGATCGTTTCCAAATAAAAAAGTGGGTAGGGCTAACCTGTCTTTCAAGATAAGAATGATTGGTCTTTCCAATTTATGAGATATGTTTTAAATCTGGGGGCATTTGGGTTTGCCTATTTCTGCATGGGAAGGGGTATAAAATAGTTTTACTTTGATAAGACTGTAACTAAAAAACCATGTGCCAACTTCCTCAAACATGTCAAAGAGCAAAATCAGACAGTCTGCTACATCTGTACCAAATGTGGTGCTGATCCAAAGCCCAGTTCCAAAATTATAATTTTTTGCTTGTGATGCCCCCATTTTGAGCATCCCCTTGTAGAATAGTGATTTGCTCTCCTGCACAATAACATAGATGCACTCTTGTGCAGGTATAATAATCAGAAAAATAACCAATGTGATGTTTTGGTTATTATTAAAGTAGTGTAAAAATTAGATGCGGGGAGCCATCCACTGTATATATTGACAGATATTTTTCCAGTCTCTGAACAAGTATGTGTTGACTGAAACCATGAATATTGCCAATTGTTGATTAAACTGTCAGTATCTTTTGCAGTTGTTCCATAGGATTAAAGTCAGTTTCCTACTGTCTGTTTTCATGTGTGATCCTCTTACTTTGTGAGACCACTCATTGTATATAGTGTGGGGGTGCCATTCCTAAGGTTGCTAAGCCACATGGGTGTTCTAGTGAGGGAAAACTCTCCTAGCATCCTGTGGCTGCTTCTGAGGGGAGGAGCTGCCACCATTCTTCCTCTTGCTCATTATCACAGAGAGCTTGCCACGGAGGCCTTTCCTTAGGCCAATCAGAGGGCTTGATTAATTGCCTTTCCCCAGAGCAACCCTAATAACATGATGTAATCATTGTCCTATCTGAACCCTGTCTACTATCTGTAATGCTGTCACTACCTGTGACCTTGTAATGTTAATAAAGGGACAGTCTCTTGGGGGCAGGGCAGACCGAGAGGAGAGCAGAATGTTGGAGAAAGAGAGAGAAGAAGAACGTCACAGAGGGAGAGACAGACGACTTCTCATTCTGCTTCCTTGCTGAGTCGCCCACCAGGAGTACTGCTGGCAGACATCCATCTGTGTGTGTGGCTGACTTCTTTTATCTATTGCTAAGAGACTCTTTGCTATCCATTATCTGGCGATCACCACAAAGCCCATCAGCCTGCTCATTGCCTGAACCCAACATATAGGATTCCCCCTTCCTTTTCAGTCAGCATTATAAGATGCTGTAGAAGATTTTGAGTAGAAATTGGGCAGAGTCTATTTTTAATTTTTGCGTACTTTGAGTTCTTCTAAATCAAAAAATAAAACAAGCCATTCATGAGATTGGAATGCATGAGTCTTAATCTGGAGTGGAAAGAACAAAGTTATATCACATTAATTGAATCCACCTATGACAACCTGGAGAGTTCTGTTGGCATTGCATGGCAACATTACAGCCTTCTGTGTGCAATTTGTTTTAAGCCAACAGAACAGAGCTTGGGACAGTTATATTTTTGAACCACAACTGCCATGTAGCAATGTTGGCTGAGGGATTCTTTTTTAATTTTTATAAACTGTGCAAAAGAACCTACTGATTCCACTGGAATGCTCCACAATACCAAAGTGGATTGCACAGGACAAAGAAAAAACAACTGTATTTCGGCAGTGGATGAGAAATCCAAGGAAAGGGAGGCAAAGAAGGAGGGGGAAGAGAGAAGGACAGCTAACAAAGGATTCTGTGAGGAAAGAGAGTTACTGCTTGTTCTGCCCTTCAACATATGTGTGCAGGGTTTTCAATTTCAGTGACTCCTGCCTGTTTCATTCTATGTCCTGTGAGTTACTCCAAGACATTCAAAGTCTGGTTTAGGTGGTTTAATCTGAACATGTCAGGGATTATCAGAAGATTATGTAAAGGGCCTGTCCAGACTGGCCATTTTTGTGCAGACTGAATTGGCTTTACAAGCATCAATTGAGTTTGGGGGGAGGAGTGATGTGCCGTTAAGGATGCTCCTTCCATCCAAACAGCACTTTAGCGCATGCTGTCAATTAAACAATTCCCCTGACCATCTGTGGAGGGTCAGGGGAAGTGAAATTGGTTGTTGTGGGTTTTTCAGGCTCTTTGGCCATGTTCTTAACGTTTTTCTTCCTAACATTTTGCCAGTCTCTGTGGCCGGCATCTTCAGAGGACAGCACTCTGTGCTCTGGTGTAGTTGGCTTGGGAGTGGAAATTATTTTTCTTATGTTCCCTAGATAATCACTGAAGCAATATATCACTTCTGTTAAATTAAGAAAGTAGTTTTCTTTGCCTGTCTGTGTATTGCCAATTGAGAAACTGTCTGAATCCACAGAAGTGCCTTCGAGGAGGGGTGTGAGGAAGGGAGGGAGGAATTTCAGCTTTTGTTTTCTATGCCTAAGCAGGTTATTAAAAGACCTGTATTGCAGACGGCCTGTCAAGGAAGACACTTGGCAAGTTGCAGAGAGGAAGGGAGGGAGAAGTAAAAACTGGGCAGTTTCTTGATTGGCAATACACAGACAGGCAAAAATTGTTATTATTAATTTTTATTTAACAGAAATGATGCATCACTTCAATGATGATCTACGTAGTAGATATATAAAAAAAATCATTTCCCTAGACCATCTGCAGACAATCAGGGGAAGTGTTAAATTTCTAATATCTTGAAGCAGCTCATAAAACATTTCAGAGTACAGTGGGGTCTCTACTTAAGAACTTAATCCGTATTGGAAGGTGGTTCTCAAGTTGAAAAGTTCTTATGTTGAATCTGCATTTCCCATAGGAATGCATTGAAAACCATTTAATCCGTATCTGCTCTTTTCCGTCCATAGAAACTACAGTGGAACCTCTACTTAAGAACTTAATCCGTTTTGGAATGGTGTTCTTAAGTTGAAATGTTCTTAAGTTGAAGCAAAATTTCCCATAGGAATGTACTGAAAACCAATTAATCCGTTCTGGCTGTTTTTTTGTTATGTAGAGGTGTGTTTGTACATTGAAGCATTAGTTCCCATAGGAACTAATGCAAAGCTGGTTAATACGTACACTCCCACTAGGGGGAGAATTTTTTTTAACCTAAGATGACCTAAGGTTAAAAAAAGAGCAGGAAAGGTTTTTTTCCCTGTTCTTATCTTGGATTTCTGTTCTCAAGAAGAAGCAAAATTTAGCAAATGGAGCTGTTCTTAAGTTGGCTTGTTCTTAAGTAGGGACGTTCTTAAGTAGAGACCCCACTGTACTAGAAATTGACACCAGAAAGATATGCAAGGCTCTAACTAGTCTGTTCCAAGAGACCACACTCACGAATGAACTTTACTTGAGCCTTCCAATTGTACCAAAGTGTTGTGTGTTTTTTTTGTATTATGTACTTAAGTTCCACATGTGACAAAGTTCGAAATAGAGTTCAAAAAGGTGTGGGACAACTCTTAAAGGGGAAAGAAAGACTGATATAAAGGGAAGCACGTGTGAACACTGTAATTTGATCTGATTCAAACCATACCCATGGCAATTCATATACCAATCTATGTGCCACTGTGGGCAGCCTCCAAGGCACAAAAAACGTCATTGATATCACTCATTGCAATTGATTAATCTAGTGTGATACAGCTACAATGCTACAGCGAAACGTGGACATGGGCCTTGTACTTGAAAAATAGCCAGTAGCTGTTGTACTGTTTGGAGTCAGCTATTGTAAGGGATCAGAATCACTTGATGAGCCCACTGATGAAATTTCCTCTATGAAAATTTGCAATTTGTTTGATTTTTAGTGGTTCAGTAAAGCTATTGCCCTACTCTTGCATTTGTGTGATCCTGAGAACCACACGACCTTTCCTAATTAGTTCTTGTCAAGGCAAGTGTGCATTTCTACCTCTTTACCATGTTATCCCTTCACACATGCACAACTTTCATCAATATGTGTCTGAGACATCAGACATGCAAACAAAGTCATACTATCTCCCAGCAGACCAATTACAAAGCAAAAACAAGAGTTAAGAGAGGAAAATGGTTCCCTTTTATTGTCATTAGTGATGTGAATTATTTTGCATGCTATAGTCTGCATGTGCAAAGCCTGCCAAAAATGCTTCTCTGTGGCAGCCCTCCATGTGGGAGTATAATCTGCAAAGCAGCCCTTAGAGGACTCTTCTGATCCATTAGTGATAATATATTGTCCACAGACTATTGATGTAAACAGAAAATACTTTCCCATACACTTTGTTGTTACAATCCCCTCGCTTAAAATAAACACAAACATAACGTTCTTGCAAAGTCAAGAAGGAAGTCAAGTACAAATGGAGCTAAATGAAGAGAAAATCTTGTGTTCCAATGGATCCACTGCTCACATGTGGATTTAGATTAGATTAGGCATCTTCAGTCTCAAGAGACTTTGGTAACGTGCTCTGTATGGAGGTCTTGGAACAGCGTCTAGTGTGGCTGAGAAGGCCAATTCAAGAGTGACAATCCCTTCCACACTGAAGACAACTCCAATCTGTCCCCTGTCCAGCTCCCTGATTTTGCTGGTTTCAGGACTGCCTCTTTGCCTTGGCCTGCTGGACAAAGGTCTCTTCAAATTGGGAGAGGCCATGGTGCACCGCCTGCCTCCAGGCTGAATGCTCAGATGTCAGGGTTTCCCATCTGTTGAGGTCCATTCCTAAGGCCTTCAGATCCCGCTTGCAGATATCCTTGTATCGCAGCTGTGGTCTCCTTCTGGGGTGATTTCCCTACACTAATTCTCCATACAGGAGATCTTTTGGAATCCGACCATCAGCCATTCTCACAACATGCCCAAGCCAACGTAGATGTCGCTGTTTCAGTAATGTATATATGCTAAAAATTCCAGCTCATTCTAGGACTACTCTATTTGGAACTTTGTCACATTTGGAACTCAAGTACATAAAAAAAAGAGGACCTGTTGGTTCTGGCATGGTTTATAAGAATGTTTAGCTTTCCTGTTTTGTGGGGATTTTTTAATATTATGATTTACAACTTTTTATTTAACAGGATACAGCTGAAATTCACTCCCCTTGTTACCTGTGGGATTAATATTCTTTAAATCCTGGGGAGAGGGACCAGGAGAGGAGAGAGACTCTGGCCAGACTACTGATAAGAAGACCGTACATCATTTTTTAAGGTTAAATACTATTCATGTAACATTTACTGTTTTCATTCACATAAGACAAACGTATCAAGGGTCGAGATGGGGGTATTTGTATTCATATATGAATACCCCTGCACAGGTAGAAATAATGGGGGTCTGGCCCCCTGAGGCCGGACTGTCCACTTACCCTTGCACTGCTGCCACAGGCTCCGTGCTCCCGTCCTATTGCTCCGGAGTTTACGATCGAGTAGCCACTCTTCGACCTGGCAGGGAAGCTTGTTGTCCTGCCTCCTGCCAGGAGTGGCTAATCAACGGCAGGCTCTGGAGCAATAGGAAGGGAGCACAGAGCCACAGCAGCAGCAGAAGGGTGAGTGGAAAGATATAACCTTTGTTATGTCCACCATCTCTAACCAAGAGGCCTTTATCATACTTCCACATGCACACATACTCACACACACAAAACCCTTCCCTGATGGTTTGTCAGTCCCTCAGTAAGAGCAATGGGAGCAATATTGCAGCACTGTTTGAAGCCCATGGTCTCTTCCTGGTTCATCCTTCTTATAGGCGTCTTTCTTGTGGGCTGTGCCAATGGGCTGAACCTCGGTGGGCATAGGCAAGCAGGGGCCAGACTCTGATTGCCTGGGCAGGTACAATCTGTTGCCATATAGGAATGTTTCTTGCATGTGTACAGTTTGCTGCCTTTACCTCAGTCCCTGTTTCATTCAGCCTGCTTCCCCTTTCTTGTCTGGACAACTGATTACAGCCAGCTTTCTTCCTTTTTCCTATCTGAACAAGTCCACATTGTATCTTCATTCCTCGTCTGCAGTTTCTTGCTGGTATAGAAACTTTTAACTCTTGCAACTCTTTGCAGATTTATATCAGACTCACCTTGCAAGTCTCCATCTTCTTTTCAGGCCTGGGGTGCTGGTCTTTCTGGAACCCACACACTCTATCATTCATAACACCTGAAGCAGAAAGTTACAGCCAAGTCATGTAACAAAGTGTAAACTAGCTACTTTTGGAATAACAAAGGTGTAACCAGGTTACATTGTGAAAGTCACATTATACGTGTTTACACAGTTGCAGTTCAGGGTTGACAAGGAATCCTTTACAGTTACTTTAAAATTATTTTTAAGGTGCATCTCACTCATTTTTAATGGATATTATTTTTAATCTTTTATTAATCTAAAGTGACATGGGGAATATTGTTTTGTTTCATCTTTTGCATTCCATTAAGTATTTTCAAAGTGCAATATCATAACTACTACAGCAGTGAGGTTTTTCCCCACACATTTCTTATGTGTAAGGACAAAGCAAAATGTCAATAATGCACAACTAAAGAATATCTGTCTTCAGTTGTCTGCTATGGATGGAGCCACAATAGCTATAATCGGGTTGTCTCATCATATTGAGTAATACAGTTAATTGCTTTTTTTAAAGTAACATTCTATACTCCGCTGTTACTGATTTCTATTTCTTCTTTTCATTGAATCCAAATAGCATAGTTGATGGCCTTACATCATCGGACATAGTAGTGAACTGAATGAATGTTATCAGTGAAAATCATTAAAGATAAGAGGGTAATGAAAGCTTACTTCCCTAGCAATAGTGTTCAACTTGTTCTTGGAAAGGTTATATTCTTCCATGTGAATCACATTTACAGCTTGGAGCTATTATTGGGTCCAGCTATCATATATGGATGGTAAAGGACTTCAAGAGCCTTGAATACAGTGTGGAAAATCAGAACATAAACATTTTAAATAAATAAACCATTGCACAGCTCCCCTATTTTACCATCCTTTGAGTATTTTGCAATAGCAATGTCTTTTCTATCAAACTGAACAGGGATGATTGAAAAAAGGAGAAGGTATTTTCAGCTCCCCCCACTCCCCAAGCATCCTACTAAGAGACTTCTTGTCAGGATAATTCCATGGCCCCAGGTCTATCTATTTTCAAAGAGAGAGCTGTGTTAGTCTGTCTCAGCTAATAAGACTGATCACTTCTTCAGGCACACACAGTATTGAGGTTTATAAGTTTAGATATATAATCAACTCAGTGAACAACCCTTAGGTCATGGTTCTGACAGTTGGGACAAATGAAATGAGATACAGAAGATGGTAACTGCGTTGGTAACCCCTGGTTATGAACTTTCAAAGTGTTGATTGCATAAATATGCTGACAACAGACATCATAATTAGCTAATACAAAAGATCTATGAGCTAATCTGTAATAGTTTTATTTTTAAAATAGTTTAACAAAACTCAGAATGAGACAAAATAAAACACCTATAGCTTTAAGACTAAAAGACTTGTTTCCATATTAGGTAAAAATGAAACGAATCATCTATCAGAAATGGAAACACACAAAACTCACTTTCAGAACATCTCACCTTTCAGAACATCCTGTCACTTTGACCATTGATCTCTAAATGTCAGTTATAGAAAAAAGGAATGTCAAAAGGAGATTTGAGAAACAGAGAACCCAGAAAGAGGGCTAAATCCAACAAAATCAGAAGTGGATCTAGCAGCTTAAACATAGACTGGGTTTTTGTAGTTACCTGCATATATTAATATAAGTTGGTTTTTCATTACATTCTTGCATTTAACTAAAATGTGGGTTTTTTTCCCAGTGGCAAAACTTTGAACTCAAAACTCCCTTTTCCTCCTGAGATCAACATTTACTGATTCAGTACTTCTATTATTAAAAAACTAAACATCACTGATGAACAATTTGAAGTTTTGCATTAATTAGTTATTCATGTAACCTACACTATAAAAGTTCAATAGGATTACCAATGCAATTGTCATCTCCCATGGCCTATTTCATTTGGTTCTCATCTAGACTATGTTTATAGACCTGTGGCCTCAGTATTGGATGTGCTTGAGAAAACAGAGTGTAACCCTTAAAGGTTCCCCTGGAGAGAGAGAAAACCTGTTAGTCTTGAAGGCGCACAAGTCTTATGTGTTTGCTCATTTTGTTTTGGCCTATTAAACCATGTTTGCTTGGCTATTTTCAAACTTCAAATAAAAAGTAAAACAGGCTGTGGTTACCCTGGCAATTTAAATCGATTTCTGTTCAGACTTCTTTAAAATCAGGTTCAAGTCATATGGTATTCAAACCGGTGGCCATATTCACATGCACTGAATGGAAATCAATTTATTTCTGGTGATTTAAACCGGTTTTTGGTATCTACACTGCTGGAATTTACTCATTTCCTTTCTGTTTTAGGAGCACATAATTCTTAAAGATTTTGATTTTTTTTCCTTTTCAAAAAAAGTAAGTGATAACATTGATAAATTGAGTGTCTATGCCACCTGGCGTCCTAATAGTCACTAAAAATCATGAGGAGAACACCAGAGAGGTGATCCTACCCAATTAATGATGAAAAAAATGAGAATAGAGGAAGGCTTCAAGCAGCTTTGTGGTGCACTGCTCTGGGTGGCCAGACTGTCCTCCATTGTCCATGCATGGCCACTCTGCACCCACTCTGTGACTACTGGTCTGCTGCTGTTTTTCTGGCGTTTTCATTGACCGAATGGTGAGAACATGATAGTTGTAATGCCAAACCTATTGATGAACTGATGCAGCAAAGAAAGAATTTTAAAAATGAATGAAAAGAAAAAATGGCAGTGCCCCTGCCATGCAAGAGCCACATAAGCATGAATTAAAATGACAGCAGCATTCACATCCACAAAACTGCATTGAATTAAATCGCTTTAGAAGTGAGGTATTTTAAAAAGCCCCTGCCAGCCAATTGGAGGGGGGAAAAATTTGCTTTACAGCTCATAGAAATTGATTTTACCCCTGTGTTGTGTAAAAATAATCGATTTAAATGATGCTTAAATGCAGTTCTTATTGCCAATGTGACCGCAGCCACTGTAAAAATATTTGCCACAGTGGATAAAAATGATCTCAAACAAAGAGTATGAATAACAAAGATTAATGAAACTTCCAGTAACATTATGGGCTTCGACATATAGGGCCCAAATACATGATGCAGATCAAACTGAAGACTTAGGGGACTCTTTACAACTGGCATAGGAATCATGGAAAGTTAAAGAATAATATAGATTCCAGTTCAAAACAAGGCAAACTTTCTGAGACCGAATAAACAGATCAGGCAAGTCACTAGGCCCACCAACAACCAAAAAAGAGTGTGTGTCCAGGTCACCACATTTCATACTAGCCTTCAATAAAATCATTAAACACTCAATTTTTCCTGTATGGGAATGACAGTGTTCTGGTTTTTTTTACTCTAGAATTGCAACGAATTAACTATAACTTAAAGAAAACTGAACAGAAAAAAAGACAAAACAACAATAAATACCTTGGAGGGATACAGAGAGAGAAAGTTAAGACAGTTCTGAAATGAAGGATTTCATATAAATTGAGCACTGTAGTGAATCCCTGTTCTGTGACTGCGTAAAAGTTCTATCACTAGCTTAATGCAGCACATTTATATACTGTTTGAATCTATTCAGACTCTCAAGATCCTGGCTGTACCTTTGTTTAAGAATTTAGCAAACAGAGATATATTAATTACCATATGAAAAGCATCAATGTTCATTGGAGACAGGAAAAAAAAAAACAAATATGATTATCCTGGGGATAAATGCAAACCACTTCAAAACATAGAACTGCCAAAGTTAATTAGTTTTGAGGAAGGCAAATAGGTTTCCTGTCCTGGCATTCCAAATTATCTCCTCAGCAGAAGAAAAATGGTGACAAACAAATAAAAGAGAACTAAGGAGACAGAAAGAGGAAGAAAACGAGAGATGTAAGATCGTAAACTCATACTAATTGATATGGTAACCTCTGGAGACAGAAATGTAACATTTCATACAATCTCCAGTACAAGTTTCCATAACAGGACAAAGCAATTCAGTCTTTAGTGACGAAGAAATTAACTGATAATTTCAGGACTGACGCCTGACCCAGAACTGGCATGTTCAATATCCATCTTCATATCCATGTGAGGTTCACATCAGCAATTCCTTGAAAGAAAGAAATGAAATGCACGCTTACCATTTTTG